CAGCGTGGCCCGTGGCCCGCCTCGCGGCGTGTCCTCCGCGTGCCGGCGGCGCTGCGTGCCGGCCGGGGCGGCCGTGGCACCTCCCTGCCGGCCCTCGCCGACCTGTCTGTCGGCGCAGGAGAGGCGCCTCGCGCCTCCCCTGTGGCCCCTGCTGCCATAGGCGTTTGTGGGGACCGGGCTGCGCCCGCGAGGAACAGTGTCTCCCGGGAGACACCGGCCCTCGTCGCCTGGCGCCCCATCATCATCGTCATCATCATCTGAAAGCTGCTCCCTGCTACCTGGAAGGCAGAGCAAAACAGGGGTCATAGTCCGGCTGGTGCATGAGCAGGTGTGTGGCCTTTTACTCGTCTGGTGCCTCTGCTCCTCTGGGCCTCTGGAGGCAATTCTTTGAACCTTTTCTTTTTCTGCCTTTCCATGAAAGAGTCACTTTATTGTAGACTTTGAGAAGTGCAGAAGTGTTGCTTTAGCAGTGTCTCTCTGAGGAGAAATAGCCGGGAGCTGAGAAGTTGGCAGCCAGTGTTTGCAAGTACCTGAGTAGCTTCCGTCATCACTTCCCAGGGAACAGAGTGTCAGGTCGTTTTGTTCCGGGAGCAGGAACTTCTGGTCCAGACCTGTACTGGTTAGGACAGCTCATGTAGCTTTTCTTTGCCCTTTTAATTCAGCAGTGCCACCCATCTATCATTTCTTCAGAGCTCCCAGTGACTAAAGCTGAGCTTCCCATGTCCTCGTTACTTGGTGTACCCAATAACATTTGCCACCTTGGTGGTTGCAGTGCGCACAGCAGTCATGGGTGACTGGAACTAGGAAGCACTGAGAGCCACTCGGTTTGCTTCTTTCCCTGTTCTTACGCTTCTGGAAGGAAGAACCTAGTCAAAGAGAAGATTTAGACTAGATTTTGAAGAGAAATAGGTTTTTATGTTTTATCCTATACCTTGTGTGGGTAAACAACTTTTCGTAGACTTTACCTTGTGCTTTCTAGCAACTCTTTGACAAGAAACAAAGAAAGCTAAATACACTATAAGCTTGGACTGCCAAAGGAACCTCAGTGTAAATATCAAAGACAGCTTACGAACAAACAAACAAACAACCTCCCACTGCTGAGAGGATGTCCAGAGCGAAATAGTCCCATTCAAGAGATGAATAAACAGGAAGCTGATTCATTTTGCTGGTTGCGGTGTCTGGCACTTCATTCACCTGTGTCTCAGCGTGTTCTTTGTGAATGGCTGCATTATCTTTCTATCTATCTACCTGGAAAGCTGTTCATAGGCTTTCCGGGTAAAGGAGCAGTGGAGGAGATGTGATCCCTGCTTCACTTCCCCGTAACGTCTCAAGGAGCATGTGTGAATCAGAAACCTGCAAGGATCTCATGCAAAAATTACTTATTAAAACTGTTTGCCAGTAGAAAATTGTTTTTTTTGTCTTCCAACCATATAAATATAAGAAGTATTTTTTTCAAAAGTGAATTCTAATGAATTTTGTGTTAGCTTTCACCCCAAAAGATGGGATGGAAATGCTCTAAGGCATTTCCCCCATCTTTTTTGTTTGTGTTGTTGAATCAGTGTTACATTTTTTGCTTTAGTGATATTATATTAGGATAACTCTGTAGAGATAGATGTTTACATTTATATATGTGTATACATACATATATATACAGGCTACTCAGTGCTAGTAATAGTTCAAGTTCTGTATACAGATTTGAACACTGTGGTGGAAGAACATTACACTTACAGTGATGTAAGACCCATTTAAAAGAGTTCACAGTGGCAGGTGGAGATCAGAAGCCTCATCTATGAGGAAAGATCAAAAGAATTGCATTTATTTGGTCAAAAGACAAGTTTGAAGGGGAGCTAACATAGAAGTGCTTCAAGTCATAAAATGTGCTTAAGTATAACAAAGAGAGACGTTTTGTTCTCCTTATTCAAGGTGGTTAAGGGAAAGAGTAAGGCTTAAATTGCAAGAAAATTCAGGCTGCATGAAGTTTTTAAGGACATAAAATAGAGAGGTAGAGAGAGACTGAGACTTTCTGACGCTCAAATATGTCTACATGCTATTTTGGAGGTAAACATGAGCTCCCGGACCAGCTGATCTGGAAGCAGTTCAGCTGCAACCAACATGGTCCTGTGCCAAGCTAAAAAGGCTGACTGAGGGCAACGCTCTAGTTCCTCCGTGTCTGGCTCTCAGAGAGGAATCTGTAGCCTTGATGGTGGTATTTTTGCTAAAAGAAAAAGCCAGGTGAGAATAAGAGGCCATTTAATAGTTTAAAATGCAAACAGGATAAATAAAAACTTATCCAGGACACTGTGTTTAAATTTTATTTAGTGTTTGTGTGCTTTTGAGTTACTCTTGGAGTTTAGTACAGATTAAAATAAGAATGCTCATACAGCAAATCAGAATTATTGAGTTTGCTGTTTTCTAATGTGGTACCTCTGTAATGTGTTAATGTGCAATGGTAGGGCTCCTTTGTAAGAACTGCAGAGAGGTACGAATGTGCAGAATTGTAATAAATAGACAAGAATTCCCTCTTTTAAATTCCACTAGGCCAGAACACGTCAGCCTTCTGTAACACCATGTTCAGAATTACGTGTGCTTTATGAAACTTTTTAAATATATAATGTACTATCAAGCTTTTTAAATATATAATGTACTATCAGCATCCTTGGTTACACAAGATACAACCTGTGCTAGGTATACGCTTTGTGTTATTAAAGTGTATTTTTAAGTGAAAGGTCTGTGCACAACAAAGTGAAAACTTGCAAAGTATTTATTAAAGGAAAGACTTTTATTCTGCTGTGAAGCAGTGATTGCTTGCTGGACACTTTAGATAGGGAGAAGTTTACATCACATCAGATGTCACTGATGACTTGTTATTAGTGGTTTATGTGGTTTAGTCATACTGCTGTGTAGGCAGTCTAGGTTGAGGACCTCAAGTTTTCTTTGTCAGTGAAAAATAAATAAAAATGTAGTTGTGAAATGGATTGCAGAATCAGACATGTGGAGTATGGAAGAGCACATAGGCTTTTAATGCTCCATTTTTATGGCGCAGCTTCCCTGACAGTTAGCGTTGTACACTTCAGCAGTCCAAGTACAGATAACTATAGCATCCTATTTGAGTTGAATGTGTAAATGTAAAAGGTTTCTTTTTGTTAGCTAGCTAGCACAAGGGGATAGAAACAGAAGCTGTTAGAAGAACATTCGAAAAAGCTTGCAGGAAGACAAGCCTTTGGACACAGTTTAGAAAAGACCAAAGTGACATGAGACTGTAGAAAGGAGCAAACAGAAAAACAGCTCTCCTGTCCTGCTGGCATTGTCTTAGGTAATATCTCTGTTTTACACACAAGATAATTCAGGTCTGTGAAAAGCCCTGTTGAGCTTCTCAGCAGTTGCTCTATTCCTCCCACACTAAATAGTTTAAGGGAACAAGCTTCCAGATATCCACTGAGATAACAAGCCTTTTATTTTTTTTTTTTTCTCCTTCTTTTACAGGATAGCTTTTTCATTAGATGTCATCACATATATGCATATTTGGTGTATATTTTAATCTGGATTTAATTTCATGGACATGTTCTGGGAAGTAGTATTGTTTGGCAAAGGGTATATAAATTGGAATACCAAGAGTTCTCTTGTGTAAACATGTAGGAAGTTGGTCAATTTTCTAGATTTAGAGGATTTGTATTTTCTAATTCTGTATTTAATCTAAAAATAAAACAGCTTCTTTTCTTTGCTCTTTAAAGTGTTTTGGGGTAATGTCCTATACAAGATCAAAAAATTATTGCTTGTAATATAAATAAAGTATTACTCTCTTCTGTAGTGAAGATAAACTACTGATAGACCTGGGGGTTGCAAAAGGAAAGCATGCGTGGACTTAACAGGTGACCGGAGCTGTGTGTTTTTGTGGTCTCCACACATAGGCATGCAGGACTGAGGAATCACAGCGGAAATGAGTGATGGAGACTGATGCACTACGTTGCTGGAAATGTAGAAAATACATAGCAAGTTCTGCTTGCCTTATAAAATGTCATGGAAAAGAACCATTTAAAGTAAGTATGGAGTCTGAAGGAGGGTTGTAGCTTTTGGGTTTTAAATAGAGGAGGAGTGTTATATGTGTTTTCACGTAGTAATTTGCCTCTGGAGACAAATATTAACCCTACGGATGGGTCAGACTATAACCTATCAGACTCTTTACAAAATATGTCAACAAGATAGTCCATACATTTTTGAATGCTGAATCAAAGGAAAAAAAATGAAATAGGATTTGCTGTGTTGTTTTGTTTGTTTGTTTTTTAAACACAGTAAGAACCACATCAGTAGAAGTAGAAATAAATAATTTTTTTAAGAGTCTACATAGTTAGTATTGTTAATGGTCCGTATTTATTCATGCATATGTGTTTAATTTAGTAGTCAGAAATCAATGTTTTCAATGCAAGCATTTGCAGTATAGCAAGACATGCTCTGGCCTGGTGTGTCTGAAACAGCTGTCTGTACTCTTCTAGCCAAGACATCCATCTCGTCGCTGAGAAGCAGGGAAATATTTTAAAAGCCGCTATCTTAATTTTACTGCTTCTTCAAGAATGCTTTCACAGATTTTATTTTCATAGCTGATATGCACATAAGTCTGTATGTTGGTGACATAAGTGAAAATTATGGGAAATATCATCAGAAATGGAGCCCCTTTGGGTAGAAAATAATTTCCTTATCCAAGAACTGGCAAGTTGTCTTCTTTGTTTTCTTTAATGCTGCTCAGAATGCATAAAGGTGTCATCTGCCTGCAGCATTTTGGGCACCTGTATGCGTCACTTTCTGTTGATTAGCTTCACAAATTAATGGCTTGTTTCCTGAATATGCATTTATACTTATCAAATGCATTTATCTTGGGACTCAGCAAGTCTTTGTTATATTTACATAGCTTTTTTAAAACCTCTGTTTTCTTGGCAATGTGAAGAAGGGAAAGTAAACATATCATTTTTCCTTTGAAAGCAGTGTATTTTTACATGGTTTGTGTTTTGCAGCAGATGGGGAGAGGTTGGGGATAATTTCAACTCTTTTTATGGCAAAAGTAGTGGTGAACTTAGTATGCTTGTCTGCTTGTCATGGATGCTCGTGGTGGGACAAGGTCCTCTTGTTTGCTACAGGAGATTTACTTTCTCTGTGCACACAACCAGAAAATTTCCTTGCATGTTCATGTAAATAGCAGATAAATAAACATAAGTTAGCATGTTTTCTGAGGCACTGGATAGCAAATATTCTGCAAAGATGAGAAGAGTAATATTTTGACTTTGTTAGCAGCTGTGTTCTTTTCATGCTGATTTTGATATGAGGAAAAAGACAAGACAAGCATGACAAATATACCTGGATATTTTAGTTCTACAGCCATTTTTTTAGTTGAAGAACTTCTAAAAGTTCCTGTCTTCCATATATAGATCCATTTTAACATCTCGGCATAATGCAACTTATTCCCGTGAGCTTTGTAATATAGGAGTCAACGATTTTTTTTGTGCTTTAACTTTCAACATCTTTTTTAAAACTTCTGTACTTCCCATTTTTTATAGCTTAGTCAGCATTATAATTTGTCATTCAGATTATATATATATAAATATATATATATAAAAATTCATTACACACTAAATATATAATTGTATTTATTTTAGCTATGTTTACTTAGTTCATGGAATGTTACAATTTGGAAGCTCAGCTAAAATCCAACAATATTCTTATGCACAGTTCTTTGAAACCTTGCTTTTCTCTCTGCAGTTGATCACATTATTGAAATAAAAACTGAACAAAACTTACAAAACTTACACTATGAACGGTTTTTAGAAAATTAATTTGAAACTCTTTGTAAAATGATTCTTTAATACTGAATACCATTTTCAAATGAACTTAACTTTGTCCTGTCTTCACTGGAAAACTGATATTTGTGAGATCAATTTCCTGATACACTTAGAAGATCAACCATTGCACCCTTTCTGTTCTTATAAAACAAAAGTACCTCCCTCTCAGAGTCTGTCCAGTGTCCTTAGATTCAGAAATAGTGTGTTACTGGCAGCATCTGTTTTATTTTTTGCTTAGAGTAAGCACAGCATCTTTTGAGTTTTATCTGTTGTTATGAAAACACTTGCTGAATTTCAGTGGCTAAATTCTGGCTGTATTCAAAGAAAAACCACATGTGAATGTTGAATATCAATACAATATTTCTGTATTTAACAGACACCTCAACTTTCAGCTGTTGCTCAGGAAACTTGCAACATATGGCATTTGAGCTTAGAAGCCATTCCAGAGTGGGTAAAATGCGCTATTGAAAAGGTAAATTTTTAAAAAACTTGCATCTTTTTTGTTCAATAAAATATGAAGTAAGTAAGAACAAATACCAAGGACACTTTTCCCCTGAGATCCACATATAATTTGCAGACATTTTGTTGAGAGAAGTTTCGTTAGTTGTTCGTATCTATTACCATTTACAGCAGGTTTGCTTTTTTTCCTTTTGTCTTAAACATTTTTTTCTGTATGCACAAAGCCTAGAAGTAGAATATTCTGTTCTCAGCCATTTATGCATGAATGCTTAAAATGTATTTGTCCAGCTAACACAGGATACCTCTTTTTATTTTATCAAATATTTAAATTTATAGTAACTGTAAAGTTTGTATATTTTGGCTTGATCCTTATGTCTTGTAGGACTTGCATTCATCCTAATGAAGAATGGTAAGGAGCACATTTGAAAAAAAAATGGACTGAGAGTTTATTAGAGATTACTTATAATGTGATATCTGTCTCCTAAATCACCTGTCCTATTTTGTCATATTAAATAGAAAAATGCATTCCTACAGTTTCAAAAGTCTCACGATAAGCAGTATCGCTTTGGAGTTGTATGTGCCCACCTGAAGTTACAAAGCAGCTCACAGCTTTGTTGTTGCAATGATTGCTCCACTGCAGTTAAATATTGAACTTAACATCAGCTTCTTGACCCTTAGTAATTGCATGAATTTAAGAAGCAGAAATAGTAATAGTCTGGCACTGTAAGTTTTTTCTGATCGGTCTTATCTGATTTGAGGAGTCACATGCAATTCTTTAAATTAGTAATCTCTTAAAATTACTGATCTCTCTGCTTCAGCACTGCATGGCAAAATAGTGTATCTATTTCACAAAAATTTCTCCTTCGAGGCAGGGAAAAAAGACTTTGAGCAGCAAGGACATATTTTCCTCTTGAGTTTCCTAATCTTGAATGCCTCATAATGAAGATCCATTTTTTTTTTTTTTTTACTACTTCATATTTTTTATGATCTGTCTTATTGCAGCTGGTTACATACATTTCGCTGTTAGCTCTTGCTCTCCGTCCTTCTGGTATTTACAAGCCTAGAGATATAACTTGGAGAGCTGCAAAGTAAGAAAACCGTAGACCATGATTATGTGGAAAAGGCTCAAAATACTTGCTTGGGATTACAGAGGAGCAGTGTTCCTCTGGTCTGGCAGCAGAGACAGAGAATTCAGTTCTACAATAAAGCCTTCAGCTGTCTTAGCCCTGATTTTGTCCTTTTCCATCCTGGAAACTTGCTGCATTCCCTTCTGACTCCTGTGGAAAGGTCCTCTAGGTTTATGGGTAAACATGTGGGCTTTTGACATGATTCTTTTTTACCAGGATCTGAATAATTTTATGATTATGTGTTATTTCCTGCTGTATTACTTCTGAATCAAAGGCTAAATCATTTTACATAAGCAAGGTATATTTGCAGGCAGTAACAACCTACTGCTTCCTGACCAGTTCTTTTTTTACCATCTGTCCCTGTTCTGAACCAATCTCATTTGGTTTTATATGCACTTCAGTGTATAGAAGTTCTTAAATTGGCTGTCTCCTTCCTGCTTTCCCCTTTTATGCAGCCCACCATGAAAGTGTGTCCCTTCAACCCTTGCTGATTTACCTCCTAGCACCTCCTCCACAGTTAGGCTGTTGCCACTTTTATTGAGTCAGTACTTCCACAGTCTGCTTCCAAGTTTATGTTAAATAAGTATTGAACTCCTTTGTATTGCACCTCTTCTCCTGGTCTCTGAGCACATAGGGCAGAAATGTCCTTTCTCTTCCATTTCTTCTTTCCAAGGCTCCTTTTCTTCTTCCCTGACTCTTCATAGATTTTGTTTCTACCCTGGGTTTGGAAATCTGAGATTCTATTCCCCAGTGCAGGAGTACCAGCAGGACTCACTGAAAGCACCAGGGAAATGGAATGTGGGAAACTCGTAGTAAATCCTTGAAACAGTTTAGTAGTTTTGGGAAACTGTTCAGCCTCTCAAATTCTGAGAGGAACTGTGCGTGGTGAAGAATTTTCAGAGATCTTAAAGTCTTCAGAAAGCTTTACTGAGCGTATGTAAACTGATTTTTTTTTCTTCTAAACTAGTAACATTTCCAGACTCGAGCAGATTCTCATAGGAGCAACAAAAGGCACATCTCTTACGTGTTGTGAAATTTCAAGCTTTTAGCACAAAACACGAGTAAATTTCTCAAGAGTTTCCAGAAATTTTTCCAGTGCTATCTTTTTTTAGCACACAACCCTTTTATGAAACTACTTTTTTCTGAAGCATTCCCCTAAATGTGCATCAGTCATGGCAACATCTTCTCAATCTAACTTGCAAAGAGAAAGGCAACTAAAAGCAATGCTTAGCTAGAAATGTTGGGCAGCATCTGTAGTACTCAGGGCTGAATTTCACTTACAGCTCAAGGCACACGAGTGAGTGATGTGTGACCAGAGATGATAATCTTGTTTCTTGTATTTGCTTTGAACCTACAAGCACTTGCATAACTCTATTCCTTACAAACGTTTCAGCTTAGGAGACTAGTACATTTATTTTAAAAGTTACATGTGTATGTAACGTGCGCATTTATAGATCTGTGTTTTTTCCTTTGAAAAAGTAGCTTTAGATTTAAAGCTTACAAATTACTAAAAATGAAAATAATCTGCTTAAAGATTTAAAAAAAAAAAAAAGTTTGTGATGGATCATGTTGTAATACTCCGTACACCAAAATACAGTAAGTACCACTTAAAGTAATGTTGGACAAGCAAAGCAAAAGCTACAGACATCTTGTGAGAAGTCTTCTTCCAGTGTACTTAGTATTCAGGGGATGTATCAGCACTCAGAAAACTCGAGTAGAAAACTGTACTTGCCAGTTCCACATTAACAGGGTAAATTGATTTGTATTTTAGAGGATTTAATAGTTTCAATAGTTAGACAAATGTAGACAAATCTAGACAAATGTAGACAAATTTTTAAAAACAAGTTGAAGCCTCTACATTTTGCAATGTGTGAGGGTCTTTTGTCTGCATTCATTAGAATTAGTTATCACTTCAGCAAGCAGTGTTTTTAAGAAAACATTATTTATAGTGGATTTTCTTTTTTCCTTTTTTTTTCCTTTTCCTGTAGGCAGTTTCTTTTCCTGTGTGTAAAAGTTTAGTTTTTGTTTTTCATTAAAGGCAAAAAGTAAATCCAGTAATGGCTTCTTAATCGTTCATTTACAATGAGTCTGTTGTTCTTTTTTCGTTCCTTGCTAATAGGCACAGTGGACAATTGGAAAACTACACTGTCCCTTCTGTGAGGCCCGCTTAGGGGGCTTTAACTTTGTTTGCAACACAAAGTGCTCCTGTGGACTGTCTGTAAATATACATTTCTGCAAGAGTCGGACTGACTATCAGGCAGCCTTTGCTGCTGAAGCGGCAAAACAAGCAGCAAAACACTTGACGCTCCGCAAAATTCAGACTGGTTTTAACAGGGATCCCCGCCACAAACTGGTATCTGCAGCTTTGGAAATCAAAAATCAAGGGTTTTCATACATGGCCAGAAATAATAATGGTAATGGAAGATTAACGGAAGCACTTTGTCTGGAAGTAAGATCATCCAGTTTTGAGATGAAGAGTAAAAGACTTCCCTTAGATACATTAAATCAAAGAAAAAAACGTTTTGCTGCCTGGCCTGTGAATGATGTATGCACTGTAAAAGCTCTTCACAGAAGATCACGCAGTTTGGATTTAAATATCAGAGAGAGTCTTGTTTTGTTGCCTGCTTTATATGGAACTTCCAGTGTGGGAACTATTTGCCGTGGCCAGAATGAAAATCCACCTGTTTACACAAGATGTGACTTGCAGTTAGAGTCCAATCAGAAAGGTGAGACTGCTTTTCAGAACCAGTATTGTTCAAATGCTGATCAACTACAGAAAAGGTTTCAAGTTACCTCCTTTAATGCATTAGTGCACAGGGAAAGAGAAAGCGAATGTGATTTTGAAGCTGCTGGACAATATTCTGGGAGTGCCATCGCGGATCAGTCACCTTTTGTGATGAACCTTTCCTCATCTACAAGTGCTGTAGAAGAAGAACAGCACGGGGCACCTGTTGGTCCTGTGCAACCTGCAAGTATTTCCTTAAACCAAAAGCTGAGTAAGAGAGAAAGAAACAAGTTGAAAAGCTTAAGGAGAAAACAAAGAAGGCGAGAACGGTGGCTACAGAAGCAGGTAGGTGTTTAAAATGAATTGTGCTTATAAAGTTGCTCTTGTAAGTCATTAAGTTGCTCTTATAAGTCTTTCAGGCCTTGAAACAAGAATTCTTGATCTCTTAGTACATGAATGATTTTTTAATTCTACCTAATCTGTTCTTTCTCTGTAGAATTAAATCTTGATGGGTAAAGATAAGTATGTAACTAGTTTCTGTCAGACTTCTTGTGATGCGTAAAGAAGAAATCTTGTAAAACTTAATAGGCTCAAAGGAAATCAAAACATTTGTGTCTTTTAAATGGTAAACACTAGCATTCAGGATCTCCTAACTTCTAAATAATGTTGTTTTGGGGTATCTTTATGCATATCTTATAAGATGTTTATATTATTTGCCATAACAAATATTTTTCTTTGAATAATGAGTTGATGTTGGTAATATTCCCATGTCTTTAGTAGCTAAATATTTTGTATGCCAAAATAACAGGTGTTAAACATTCATATCACATATATTTATTATTAATTTCTTCAAACCATCTAAATAGGAATAGTGCTAAAGGTCATGGGTTATGAGATTTGGTTTTGGGGAAGGCAAAGAGAGGAGCAAAGAAACCGGGAATGTATCTTAAAATGAATAGCACGGTTATCACTTAGAGGAAATTAAATAGAAGGACAAATGATATGCATGTCTGTGAAAGAAAAGTTCTCATGAAAATCCTACCATAAAATATTGCATGGTCAGAGAGAGCATACACGTGATGTAATTCACACCACAAAAATAGTGTATACTTATATATACTTAAGCAGTTTTATATACTTGTACTTAAAAATATATATATTATATATACTTAAGAAGTATATATACTTGAGAAATCATTCCCATTTGGGTTGACATGCCTTTGTTATAGGCTTAGAATGTTCTGTAGCTAAAGTAAGTGGCATGTAAAGCTTCTGTAAACCATAGCTCACAGATTTGGGTGTGTGATTGTTTTACATTTGTTAGCAATGTAATTTAATTTAGTATTTATGCCTTATCTACAAGCTGCTAATGTTATTTTAATAGTGCTTAAATAAGACGCTGTATTGTTTTCGTTGATTTGCATTACCCCTATGCTATATAGGGGTAATTAATATATGAATGTTGCTTTGACCCTTTGCACATATTTTTTTTCCTTTATTGAGTCTTATTCTTCCACTGTCTTCGTACTATTTCACTTTGCTCAGACAATGAATGACTCCAGACTCTTCTAGATATTATCAGTAGATCCTTTAGAACATCATACAAAATCAAAGGCGAACAGGGAATTCAAGGTCAAGTAATGATTGCATAGAAGGTGTCACTCTCAATTAAATGTGCAGATCCAGCTTGAAAATGTGATGACTCTGGGACATATCATAGGGATTTTCAGTATGGCATGTATACTTTCATCTGAAGGAAGGTTAAATTTTGGGGTTTTGGTGTGTGGTTTTGTTTTGTGTTAGCCAATATTGCAGTTGGCATTGTTGTATTTTGAAAACTTGTTTGGGCTTTGTAAAGTGTCTGTGATACTGAGAGTAAAGAATCTTTCTAAATTCTGGATGTCTTGTCAAAAGACTAGCACTCAGTAGTAAATTTAAAGGTGATTAGATGTCAGAGGTCTTAAAATGTTTGTTAGAATTTCCAGAGCTCATTGCTTGTGTTGAATAAAATGCTGATGCAAAAACACGGTATATACGAACATTTGCAGATGTATTACCTGAGGTCTCTTCAGCCACCTTCCTCTTTGCTAGATGTTATTTCCTAGATGAAAATTTTGTGCAAATTTCGCTAATTTGTAGAAGCTGAGAGAAAGAAAAATATACTTTCAAATCTCTGTTAAACCTTGCCAAACCAATTCCTCCACATTATTTTTTTTTTCAATGTTTTGATTTGTCCAATGCTGCCCTGTTGTTAAGTGTCAAGAACTGAAAACTAAGCATGTGAAACAAACCATGTGATCTTGAACAGTGTTTGGGGAGGGAAGTTCCTTGGGGTTTGTTCCTTGTTGGGCACTGATGTGCCTACCCTTGCTGGCAGCTGGTGCAGGGCAGGACCTGCTTAGCGGGCAGCTAAGGGGCTGTGGCGGGATCGGGACATCGTGGCCCCTCGTGACATGTCGTGCCATGAAGGTGCTGGCCAAGGGCCCCTGCCCAGCTGCCCTTGCCCTGCTTCTCTTCGGCTCCAACACCAATTGTCCCGGCGATGCTCGGAACAGGAGCTCGTGGTACTCTCAAACTGTGATTTTAAGCATACTTATCACTATACATTTATGTTAACAGGTGGTAAAACTTCACAGATAGAGGAAAGCTTAAACTTTTGAGTGGATGAAATGCAGGAGTTTTGATAAATGACAGTGGGGAGCGTTTCAGGTGCTCTTTCAAGCAGCCCTGTTCAAAACTGCAATGGGAAGTGAATCTTTTAATTTATATCTATCAAAGTTACTATACAGCTTATTTTTACTTTTAATTAAAACTTTTCCCAGGAAGCAGCCCGAGAGGACGAACCTTTCCAGACTCCGCACTTCTTTGCAGATGCACAGGCTGCTTCTCTACTCTTATTTTGTAGTGTGAGAGCCACAAAACAATACCATGTATTAACAAATGCTAATACAATGTACTAACAATATGTACAATGCATATCATTAAGAGTGTAATAGGAAGTGCCTAACCAGTATGAATAATGGCTTTTGTTACTCTTGTGATAGCCAAGAATATGAAGTGTTTCTGCTATAACAGAGGCACACAGAAGGGAATTTGTATGTTTGCATTATTTACTGAAGTCTGAAACTTGTTTTCTGAAAGAACTCAGTCAAAGAAGTATCTTCTGCTTCTCCCAGTTACGTTTTGTTTCTGTTTGCAGTCATTTTATGTGGAGGAAGACGCTACAGCTAACTTGAGAATTGCAGTATCCTTTTGGAAATTATTTATGGGAGAAGAAAATATTATTAGGTATTTGCTCCACACTTCACACTATCACCAGTATTAGGTATTCACTCCACGCTATCGCCAATGCTTTTGTGTATTTTCTAAAGCATGGAAATGTGTGTCTGAAAAGGGGACTGATGCTGAGTCTCCAGGAAATAAGTTTGCTTGCGAGCTCCCAGTGTTAATCAGAACTAAGGATAAACAGATGGCTAAAATATGTTTTACCACACCATCCTGTGCTAAATATTTTTATCTTGGCCTGCAGCCTTGAATTTTCGTATCTACAATGCTGATCTCTAGCAACTGATGGTCTTGTAGCAAAGACACTAGATTTGGAAGCTTTAACTTCTGGCCTTAGTCACTTCATCAGTGTTTCTCTTTCATGGGTAAATTGGATTAAAGTTCTTTTTCATGCGTTCTGGTGTTTGTATTTAAGCTATAAATCCTTCAGGTGATCATGTGATTGTGCAGTGGGTTTCAGGCATCCCTGCTGTGATGCTGCTATTAAAAAAAATGTATGTATATTCTCTGGCTACTTATGGATTCCTCGACTGTTTTTTTCAAGAACAAATGTATTATTTAATTTTGGGACCAAAGTAAGGTAGGATGCAAAGGAAGTGAAATGAAACCACAGCTGACAAACTACAAGGTGTAAAGATTAAGGTGTGGGTCAAAAAAAAAGACCCTGAAAAAGCTCTTTAAACTAGGTAATGAGGAACTTTACCCTGAGTGATGAGGAAATGCAGCAGACTGTTTCCAGGTTTTTGCTTTCAACGGTGTTTTGTGCGTTTCCCTGGTGTTATTTATCAACACTTTATTAAACACTTAACAACGATTACACACCAGAAGGGAAAACTTGTCTTTAGAAGTTCTTACATGGTAAAGGCTTAGTTAGGAGCCGACTTCACATTTAATGCAGTTTGGAATTGTGGGGGAGAGTGTGTGTGTTTCGTCCTTTTAAATTTTCTTCCGAGAGAATGCCTACATTTGAGAAGATGCCACGTCTGTCAGTTCCCATTATTAGTAATTTGCAATCAAGTTTCTAAACTTAGTCTTTTACCTTCTATTTGAACAATGGAAGTTTAGATATATTGTTTCTAAAGATTAGGCTCAAAAAGGCAGCGTTTTGATGTCCTGAGCACGAAGAAAAGGCATAGAGTTGATGTAGTGGCGACCTGACATTTTTGATAATGCTGGCAGACAGAAGGAAGCAAATTCATGCTCATTAAAGAAGACTTCTCCCCCACAGTCTTTAAAAAATGTCCAACAGTTTTACAAAAGTTTCTAGATTGTTTGTAGCTCAAGAAGTTGAACACTTTCATGTGACTGTATTTTGATATTTTTCTATTTCTCATTTTCTTCTATGTATAGAAAGAGGAGAGCTTATGCATAGGCTTTTTTAAAGTATAATTATAAGGTGTAAATAGATGTAACTTAGAATATCTCAATTTCCATTTGTAGATTAAAATTAGTATGTCTCGGGAAGAGGAGAGCTAAAATTGCAGTACATCTCTGCAATGCACTTTACCCCAAAAAAAGAAACTGTGTCCTTTCATTCCGTTAGTATACTTTTTATGCTAGCTTTCATACAGCAAATACATTGGTTAAGAAAATAGTTTTCCAATTAGAAATATTAAACTTATTAAATAAGAAACAAAGCAAAAGACATATTAAAAAAAAGAAAAAATGACTTGAGTGCAGCCATGGTGAAGGAAGATAAACATTAGAAAGAAACCCTCCCGTGAAGAGTGTTACATCCACTTGGCTCCTGGAATTGGCAAGAGCAAAAGATTTGCGAGCCTTGTGAACGTTTCCTATGGGAGCAGAGTGGATTCATTGCAGAGAGATCTGTATGATGAGGAAGGAGCATTACACCAAAGATGCCGGGAAAAGGGAAAACTTGGGGCAGGCATTCACATGGAAACCAAACTTCTGCTCTGCCTTCTTCTGTGTTTCCTTAGTTAATACTTTTTACCATCTTTGCTCATGTTGGCCAAACTCGACAGAGTGATAAAATTTTATCTTCAGATAATTGCTTGGTTTTTTTTAAGAAAATTTCAGGAAGGTAGATAAACACGTGA